ACTCCTTTTGCCTCCCCCCCGGTGCTTTCCCTGTTTTTTTTTTTTTTTTTTTTTTTTATGAATGCTGGAGCTAACCCTACCCATCTCCTATTTTATAAGATACTTTGGACTCTGCCTAATGCTTCTAGAATTTCTTCTTGGAATTTCAGAGCTAGCCATGGGTCCCTGGTCCCTGGCACAGCTGACAGATCCCTGAGCTCCAGGCCCAGCCCTGCCCTTCCCAAATTCTGCTGGTCTGCAGTGACCGAGGGCAGGTGGAGCTCCCAGTAGCTCAGGCCTCCTCCGCCGGCAGAGGACTCTGTGGCCCTTCTGCCCTCTGAGCCAGGGCTCCCCGCGTCCTTGGTGCTGGTGCTTCCTTCCCCACCAAGGCTGGTGTTGGCGACCCTCCTGGAGAACCGTTCTCCCTGCTGTGCTTTCTTCACCAGCTTCCTGTGTCACGTGCCCCAGTTTCACATTTTCTAAACAATTTCTCTGGGATTTGAAGACGAGGACAACACAGGAGAGGGAGCAGGTGTCTCGGTGGGGACAGAAGCAGACCCGTGCCCCACAGGGTTCTGCTTTGCCCCCGCCAAGGCTGCAGTGAGCCCCAGCAGACTCACATTCATTGCTGCCGTTCACTGCAGAGCACTGTGCGTGACCTCAGCCGGTGGTGAGGGAGCGGGGCCTGCCCTCCGAGGTCTGGGCTCATGGGCGGGCCCAGGCACACACCCAGGGTGGTCCGTGTGTGCGGGAGCCCAGAGGATATGCGGAAGTAGCCGGAAGTGGGGGTCTGGGGCCTGGGGGGCAGTCGTACCATGCACAAGGAATGAGGTGAGCGAGAGGCTGGGCTGTCGCTTCCTACAGGCCCCTGCTGTCCCCACGGTGGGTTGTATCTGCTTGCTCACAAGGACACTGCCCGATTCCACGACCTGGGCCGCACAGCTGCTGCGACCCTTTATGGGGTGCTTACCCCACGGAACAGTGGCCAGGTGTTTTCACACTCCCGAGGCTTCTCGCGAGATCAGTGAAATCTGTATTAGTTATTTATATTCTTTTTTTATGTGAAAGAAGCAATTTTTTTATTTGCAGCTTCAAAACTGAAGACTTAATATTTGAATGAGGTGTATAGGATACCGAGAATTCACACTGCATTGTTCTTAGCTTAGATAATATGATACTATAAAAAATTAAATTTTGTAATGATGCATAGGTCATTCAAATATTCTCTGAGTTTATCCATTAAAAAAAAATTCCAGTCCAATGGCTTATTATTTTCTGAAGCAACTCCAAGTTAAAACTTCCTGTCAAGGTATCAAAGGTCTAATACCACTCAGTCATTCTTACTTAATTAGCAGTGATTCTTGTCTTAAGTGGAAATTTTTTTTGTCTTTTTTAAAAAAATATTTATTTTTATTATCATCATAATCTTCTTTATATTACATTGGATTACATATAACTTTACAGTGTATTACATTGCTTTTTCAAAAGGGAATGCCATGCATGTCAGTCAATACAGAGACATTAATCTCCCCGCTTCATCATTCAATATCTTTTCAATGTTTTTGCAAATCATTATTATTACTCTAATTATTTTTTTAAACAATCACTATTTCTCATTTTGCTTGTAAAAACACTTTACCCATCATGAAATACTTCTCAGACCAATCCAGTTGGGAATACTATACACGTCGTCATCAACAGGTAATAAGCCATATCTGATTCTCACTACCATCCTGCCTCTCTATTTGTTCTCTTGCTATCTTTCTCTATCCTCTTCTCTTCAC